TGATGCCGTCCACGTAGATGGCCACTATGAAGATTTTCTTATGAAATGAAATGCGCTCTTCAATTCTAAGTTACACGCTTTGAGCTGAGCAAAGTGTGATTAAATCCATTTGAGTCTGGAGACAAAATGTCTTTTTTTATTGGCCCCCTCCATTTGTGTTGGGAACCAGAACGTGATAACGGCTGCACTATATGCAATTGCAATAGCCTATGTTGACATGCGCGCAATAGCGGACGGAGCAAAATTGGAATAGGTTGAAATTCTGCCGTCAGTGACCCGTTTGGGCCACGCAGTTGAGCTCTGCTTCGAGTCACAGCAGCAATTGAAAGCGTTATTGGTCCACACAATGGTCAAGGGAGTCTCGTGAACACAAATACGACGATTCATCTATCAGGTGAATCCTTTCTATGAGTAGGATGGAGCTACCCTCAAATATAGAAGAACGACGTGCCATTCTAGCGACTCGAAAGCGCGTCGCAACGTGGAAAGGCCTACCACTTAGGAGCACGGCCATCTTTCGAAGCTCAGGTACCTTCAAGAATGTGTTGGTGCTTGCGGCTCGCTCATTCCTTGTGCTCCCTTGCTTAGTCTGTTTTGCTAGCCCTTGCGCTTGAAGCCTTTCAGCACAAGCCTACCAAAGGGATGAGAAGCATCTTCTAGGTGTTTTCTTCACTTTTCATAACTAGCGGTCTACTTACCTCTCTGCTTCCACTCTCGAAAATAATGTAATAACTACACCTATGTAGTTGATCATAGAAGGTGCCTTTAAGTCAGCGCCTTCGTACCCCCTTTAGGTGGAGCGCTCATCAAAGGAATGGGCGCAGAGAGGATCCTGGGCGATTACGGCACTTGTGGACTTTGCGAATTCAAAACGACGCGCCTGGCAACTAGATCACATGTTCTGGGGTGAAGCGAGATAGGGGTAAAATGCTCAAAAATACGTACCTTGCTGTTTTTGGCTGGTAATGAAAGTTTTTATGAGTTGCTCGGTGGTCTGCGTGTACAGACTAAGCGCATACTTCAGCGATTGTAACTCAGGACTCTTTTCGAAGAAAGATTTCTTCAGACCTTGACCACCAGCATGGAAGCATTCTGAAATACGCAGAGGATTGGAAGGCTACTCGTCAACTTTCATGAGCTACACAAAGACAACTCGTACCTTTGATGGCATCCAAAGCTGCGTCTAAAACTGTACATTGCTTTGGTGTCAATGATCGCTCACATTCTCGGGCCATGTCCTAAAATAAGTGAAAATTTAGTTTTCAAGTTTAAAGCGAACAATCGACCAACTTTCCCAAACCAACTCTTAGCCAACGTTGTCTCAACAAGAAAAAACTTCAGTATAGGCTTCAATAAACCCAATTCAGAAACTAAGCGTATATCACTAATAAAGTCTCAGGTCACTTTGTTCCACCGCCGCTAACAAAGCGCGCCCCACAATTTCCAGCAAGATCAGCTCTTGTTCTGCATCTATTAATCGCGAGTGTTTTTTCAGTCTAGTGGAGAAAAGAAGTATAGTAACCTCGACCCGACAGCGCTTTAAAGAGACTATATTAAGTTAAATAATCACTCCATGGCGAAGAACCCCCTTACCATCATATCCTTTACAGAGCTCATTCCTTTGATGTTCTGGATGTTGGTGGACATTAGCTTAGTTACGTCCTGGATTTTAGCATTTGGTAATTGCTTCAGTAGCTGAAAAAGATGGTTTGTTAAGAAGATCTGGGTCATAAATGCTCAACATGCCATTAGTTTGTAGCGGACTTTCAATTAGTGGTTAGAAATGCCTTAGTGAATGCTCAGGATCAATGGAAAGCCATTCCCCTTCACTTAAAGGCATGCCCCACGATCACATTGGTGTGGATCTTAGCACACGCCGAATGCGAATGTATGTTTTTTTGCTGCAATGGGCCAGCAGCAAAGAAAAAAAGAGAAGAGCTTCCTGTCAGCATGGGCAAAAGTTCTCACCATTCCTGAATCGGCTGTGCTAAGGGAATGAGAGACTAAGCGCGGAGAGGAGAGTATGAGGCGAGAGAGCGCTACAGATGAGAGGGCGCCAGACAACAGCCTGATAAGAGAAAAAGTCTGCAGCTTAGCAGCTTACTTTGCAAGGCCCAAGCGCTCTTGTCGGTTGGTTTTCGTGCACGTGAACCGTCACAATCGCTGGATCGCCTCCGAGATGCTCCGTCTACAGAACGAAAGGGAAGCCGTCACAGCCACCCTGCCTGGATTATGCCTTTAAACCCGACATTTCATCCCACAAAAATTGAGATGCGAATTAGAATGCTGTCTCACATCTGTAGGACAATTTAAATGTGAATACAATATACACCTGCACCGCCCTTTGAGAATCCATGCATGCTATTTCTTCCTTACCTTTCCAAATTTGATGGCGTTGGCAAATCCACCGAACACTGACTTATAATCGGTAATAATAATAGTTAGTATTTGGATTATAAAACTAACCGTTTTGTCTGCGAGAGGCGGAAGTACCACCAATTTTCCATACTGACAATTGTTATCCTCCATAGCTCCTGGGTAAACGAGAATCAAGTTAAATTTTTTTTCTAGCGAAAAAACTTTAACAGACATCGGCATTGCTTTTATATTATTTCGAAATATCGAACGCAAATAGTAATTTAAAAAAGCTTTAAAAATTATCCAATAAACATAAAATCGTCAACTACCATGAACAATCCGAAAACTCCGCGTTGATCAATTCCCTTTTGGGATGCGCACTTCCATTTGTACATTCGTAGTGGCGTTTGAATGCGATGTGGCCTATACAATGACTTGCGGGGGCCAGCCGATGTTCAAGTCAGTGTTTTTATCCTCCCAGACAAGTCTGGTACCAATTAACCGACCCCGGAGGGATGGAAGGCTTGGTTGGCCCGGGCGACTCACGACCCAGGATATGACCGTTAGGTTTTGACGCAAGCGCCATATTCATACTTTTGAAAGACTAACCTTCAAGATGTACTTGAGGACAGTCTTCTCACATTGCTGGAAGTACCGTTGCAGTGATCCTTCAAGAAGGTCCATCAAAGGCTCCAATACCGCATCCACTTCCTGTGAATATGGAAATAAATTTACTAAAAAATGAGAGCAAAGGTGAGTAACCATGAAACTTAACAAAAACCTTCCAAAAAAAATATGAAAAAACACCCACCGCTGCCACTTGGGTCTTCTGAAGTTGAGGTCCTTTGATCTTCGAAAGCAGCACGCCAAGCTTGTTCGTTTGTTCATGGATCATTGGTTCAAGCGTTGCCACAAACTGAACAGATTAATTAGATTTCTACAAGCATTGCTAATGTCGCTTTTTGCATGCATGAAATAAATATAAATCCTCTCTGTATACAATAAACAAACAAACAGCTAAATAAATAAATAAACAAGTGAATAAACAAAAAACTCCTCCTACCTGGCCAGACAGCTTGTCCAATACGCTGTTGAGCTTCTTTTGAAGATTTGTAAGAACTTGACTACATGTAGGATCCAATTCCTGACCACCCATTGTTTCGTAGATTTTCTCAAGTTGGACCCTGAAACATCCGATTTTTCAGATTACAGGTTTAGAACATGTTTTTAATGAATATTACTGTTCATTTTTAGCCACAATTTTCCATACCTTAGTTGTTGCACATTATTCATGAGTATACAGGCGAGCTTCTCATTCGATGAAAATTTGGAGAAGTCCTTATGAACCATATCAGCATAGGCGAGAAGAACCTGTAGAAAATAGACTTCTATATTGCGTTCATACTCGGCGAACAGTGACTTTGACTTTACGAAATAGCACTCAAGTTGAAGAGACGAAGAATAATCAGGGAACAATTCAGGCTCATGTGCTCTAGTGGGACGCTAAGAATAAGGAATAACAATTAAAGAGGTCAAGAAAGTTTCAAAGCTCACCTTATTCAAAGTCTTACTGAATCGTTTCATCATATCAGCATAAACGACCGGGTTGGGGCAGTCCATCTGCAATGAAGCGTCATTGAACGCATGAACAGACAAGTAAATAAAAAGCAAATAAGTAAATAAAAAAATAGGTAAAATGACGAGATCAAAGTTTGACTGACTACTCTCTCATTGGCAACATTTTCAAAGACTACCAACCTGCTTGAGCAGCTTCAATGCCTCGTTCAATTGAGTGAACACGTCGACAACGCTGTTGGAGAAGCGGGTATGATCAGATGTTTGAGGGAAGTTGTCGGCTTTGTCCCTGAACACGAGCTTCATTTCGACGGCTTCGAATCATTCAATAATTACCCCTTACCTATTGTAAGCATTTCGCAGAATGTCCATCGAATGTTCATCGTTCTCGTTCAGCCAATCCATGACGAATGGAATGAACCACCTAGAAATTGCAATAAACGGCATTTAATTGAGAAACCGCACTACCATGATCAGTTTGAGGCGGATTTTACGGTGAAAAGACAATTGGGAATCAGGTTAGTTAGGCCAGTGATGCAAGAAAAAGAAAAACCGAAAAAATGGCCTAGAACCCCAGAAATGGGACCTCTTCCTTGCTCGTTGGTTTGCGCATTGATGTGACTCTCATCGCTTCCGCCCTCTAAAACGTCGCTCTTTCTTCTTAACAACTAGAGACTCAGATACGAGACACACGAGAGCGGGCGTACCGGGCCAACAGCGGGCCAAATGGCGAAGAAAGCTATGCTAGATCGCTGGGGGCATATCCTGTGAATTGCGTGTCACACCCTTAGGAGGTCCACCTGTCTCTCCGCTAGGTAAGTATCCCCTTCTTCTACTTTGGCCCTTATCGTGGAATCCACTTGAAGGAGAATTCACGCTGGAAAGGCAACCCATTTCAAATTAACTTAGGCGATGGTGAGTGGTACACTAAAGAAGGAAAAACCATGAGAAACGGCCCAGAACCCGAGAAATGGGACCCCTTCCTTGCCCGTTGATTTGAGCATTGATGCGACTCTCATCGCTGTGCCCTCTTCAACACTACGCTCTCTCTGCTATCTAATCACTCGCCACGTATAGACTGCGGCGAGTGATTAGATGGTCGGTGGGCGGACCCCACCGACCGCGCCAACAATGAGCCATGCTAGGTCGTCGAGGTCAAATCTTTCAGTGCCAATTGCGCGTCAGTCCGCACCTTCAGGAGGTCCGCCTCTCTCAACTAGGTGAATTACTCCTTCTTCGACTTCATTGTTATCGTGAATTCCTTCTTCAAGCAGTTATATGTTTCTTTTTCTTTTCTTTTTCTCAGCAAACGGTTAAGATTACATAACAAATAGTAGCAGAGCGGGTCAACAATTTATAATCGTGGGATTATGAATAATCAAATATAGCAAACTCACGCTGGGAACTCCGGAATTGATTGTTTATACTGCGGCAGGTCGGAGACATATTTGAAGTAGAATCCTTTCACTTTGAAGTACAAGTTCATGTATTCCGGTGTTGGGCACTTCTTCGTTGTTGCGTGCTCTTGAAATAATAAAATTTCACACGAGTATCAGAGTGTATCAAAATCCAATCTTCGGGATCTCTCAAAGTGATAAAGGTAAAGATACGGGAAAAAGAGGTGTGGAAAAGCGCCCAGTTATGAAGCTAGAGGGGTAGGTGGTCTCTAGAAAGAGAAGGAAAGCAAACGAAACCACCGATTACGTCCCCAACAGAGACCTCCCCTATTTCAGCCGCATTCCACCTTGGGATAGAGAAGAGGCAAATTGGACGAGTTTCACGAACCTAACTCTCAGTTGCTCCAGTGCCAATGACATTTGGATCGCAATGGGACCGCTGCCTCAAATGCGCCCGCGCTTTTCAAGCAGCGCTGTGTGGACAACCGACAGCGGAGGTGGGGCTTGCGGACGAAGGTGTGCTTTGCGGGTCGACAAGCTCCTTGCACCTTTGTCGCGCACTTTCAAGCGGCAAAAGAAGCGCAACATCAACGCTTGTCCGCCTGTCTACTACCACTGGGATGGAACAAGCAAGAGCGCCTAATCCCGGAGCGTGCCTTCAATAGAATAAAACACTTATAACACCCCGAAAATCCCCGAAAATGTGGTGAACCCTGGAACTACTTGGCTACCCAGAGTACAGGAAAAAGCTATCCAAAAAAGTGACTAAACGTGTGGTTGAAAAGTACACCGTCTGGCCTAGAAAACCTCTGCGATGATTCAAGCTGATAATTGGCAAGAATGTTTTGAGGTTCACCTAACCCACGCAGGCCACTTACATAGACATTTTCTCAGCTAAAAAAACGAAAACGCACCTTCAAGTGCCATTTTCAGATCCATTTTGTACAGCGTCCATAGAGTACGGCAGAGAGATGACCAACATTGAGCTCTTGTGGAAATTGGTTTAAACTTGGCCCGTAAACAGTTTTATCGTCTTCTATCACACGCATCATGTAGTCAAGGAAGTCGAACCTAAGCAATACAAAATTATAACCATACATTAGTTATTAAATAATCACATAATTAAAAGGTAATTATAAAATGATCACGACAGAAAAATCGAATTTCAGCCGGACTTCGATTTGGAACAAATGGCCAAATGAGCCGAAAAAATCCGTACAACCGTTTCAAATTTCAAGTATAAAAGCGTTACTAGTCATTTGAACATATTTTAAACACTGTTCACATTCGAATGCGAGTAAGTTAATTAATGGGTATAAAAAGAATGTTCAAATTGAAGCCATAAATCCACACTCACCAGAATTTCACCGATTCGGACGATGGCGCTCCTTGTTCACAGCAAGAGTCAAACAGCAATTGGTACGTTGACTGAAACATTGAAATAATTACTACAAAACTCTGGTTCGCAAAAGTGAGAGAAAGTTCAGATTTCCATTTAGACAGTCATTACTAACGTATACGTAAACCCATCTCACTATTACTTCTGCGTTTACTGCCAACTCATTTTGACTATTCTTAGCTTGACCAAAAGATAGCGAGTACCCATTTGGAATCTACGTGGAGGGGAAGAATGTTGAAAAAAGCACATTCATCCCTAGACGCAGTGGTTTCCCAGCAACGCTACCACGATTATACTACCGTTCGAGAAATTGTATATAAATATGTAGCAATTGTGCAGTTATAGGCAATTATTGCCCCCTCCTCTATCAGCCTTAAAAGGATGAGTGCCAGGTAAGCACGCAGAGCCAGTCTAAGCACTAATGAAGGTTTCAACACCCAAGGCGCAGGGTGCTTCTATGAGCGGGATCGTGGGAGACTCAGAAATTTTTCTCAGCACGACGGTTGGCTTGGTCGTATAACTCTCCCTTCAACTTCGTCTGTCGTCAAAAATAGAGGACATCATACGTGTCAGTCGGTGCGAAGGGAGTCACTACTGTAGCTAGGGTAGATAGAGTAGTGGAAGTTGTTGAGGGGAAGGACTGCAAAGCAGGTCACGTGGCGGTGAAAGGTAAGCTGCATGACTCATAGAACGTGTAATGTGGTGGACTAGACATGAAACGCTGAACAATCACTGGTGGAGGCGGTTTAGGGGGCGACGTGCCGATTTAAACCTCAACGAGCTGGGTTTGAATGGGAATTGACGCCTTAAGCTTCATCAATTCAAGCTCTCACACAATAATGTTCAACGGAGTATCATAACCGCACCACTCAGTTATTGGTCAGCACACTTTAAAGGCAGCGGATTACATAAAGTTGGAGGGGGGGTCGGGGAAGATTATGAACAAAAGATCGTTACTTGGCTGCTGGGGAAGAAAGATGTAGCGCTCACACAACGAAAGGTGCGCTGGTTGCTGAGCAGCACTTCGAAAGCACTCCGCCCACAAAAGCGATCCGCCCACTGGTTTGCTTGGTGATTTGGACGAGCTGCGTTGCCAACAGCGTGCATAAAGCAACTTAACTGCGACATGGATTGCATGTTGTCACGAGCGTTGAGAATGGAATCGTCAATACGTCTGTTTTCCGAACTGTTGCTTGTTCATGACGTGTTCATGATGTTCATGTTCATAAAGGGGTTTTGCGTTTTCCTGACGGATTTCTCCGCATTTTTCGCCACTAGCGTACCATTTAGCACCACCACGTCTCCCTGACTCTTTTTGAATCTATCGTATGGTTGCTCAAGGTCAACGTCATGTAGATGTTCGGTAGAACAGCTATGACCACCTATTAAGTCTTTACAAAAGCAATTGACAAGACATATAAGACAGCACGAATCCCGCATATACCCAGATTAAAAACATTAACGAGCCCATTCACACAAGAAATCATTCATAAAAAAAGAACATAGTAGCAAAGGATAAAAATAGTTCAATTTGAAAAAGGCATTTGCAGAAATATTCACCTGCATGCAAGCCTTCGCACATTCCGAGACGACATTCGATGCTCGCGGTGGGCTGGCCAGCTCGAGCACCTGGACAGCTGATCGATAAGTTAGCGGCACATAAATATTAAATTAGCTTAAATTCGATACCTTCATACGAAAAAATGTGATTGAAGTGAGTAGATCAACAGTTGACTTCAAATCTTGAAGCTTCGCCGGTGAGAGAGGAAGTATGTCTGTAAGTCGGACAATGAGGAGCTCGTACTATCACTAATCGAAATGTCCTTTACTAAGATATATAATTTTACTAGATAGTATGATTATTATAATCTGTAATATTACATACTATGTTCTTCAAAATTCACTCTGCTCTCAATTGGAATTACGCACCTGGATTAGTGTACATAATCACTCTTTTAGCATAAAAAAAATAAAAGGGAAATTGTTAAGGTGATCGATAATGTGTGGGAGAAGCACGTATACCGTGCCATCAGTTGTAGGAACGCAATATTGTTGATGCTAATGGCCTATACAACGAGTTGTGAGGATCAATCAAAGTATAAATTAGTTTTTGTGAATAGTCTTTTTCAGAATGTAACACAATCCGATCAGGGAAAGGATACAGGAAAAATTATGCGTTTTGATCGATCATTTTAAGTTGCGTCACGCATTCTCACATAAACTCCGCGAATGGAGCTCTTTTTGATCACGAATCTAACTTGTCCAATGAACTCGTCGGACCGAGCGGTAGCACCAAGTAGTTTCCAAACATCCAAGGCAGATCGATCTTACACTCAATGGAGGTGAAAAAAAATTGATGCTTCGTTAGTTTCCACGCATGAGAATCTCCCAATACAGTCAGCGCCTCTCAGTCAACGATCAACGTACGAGGTCAACGTGACTGGGTTGCAAATAATTAAGAAAGACTTGAATCCCAAAACGCCGGCCCTGGCACGGCTGAGATGTGTGCACATTATGATTCTCCTGCTGTGATGAAGCTCTGAGGCGTAGTCGTAAGCGATCCGCAATGACTGGGGATATAGAAATTGTTGATTTACTGCTAACTCTCTTGTGAAGACCCCAACAGTAGCCAAAATGGCCAGTGGAGCCGACAACAGGGCTTTTTCTGAATGTGAGATTAGAGATCTATGTTTCAGAAAAGGGGGCAATCCTGACATTGTTTCTCGCTGTTGCTATTGAATAAACCAGAGACCTGACACCACAAAGACGAGTGCAACGGAAGACCTACGAGTGACGGCCAACGAGAGGAGGGTTTATAAAGCACACCGAAGGCGACTTGATCGTATAACTTCGTATAATGTATGCTATACGAAGTTATAGCAAAGCAAGTTTGTGGAAAGATCGACATCAGAACGGAATTCAACCTGATAAAGGAGATCAGACCAGCTGGCTTCAGAGTCCCAGTGAGTGGCTTCAGAGTTCAAATATAATCATGATGTAATGCTGGTTGGCGAATAGAATGCGCATGGGTGTCTATATAGCCCTCTTCCTATCATTATTCTTATGACTTTGAAAGAATATTCCCATTCCTAACGGCTACTGCATGCATATCATGCAGAAGGAGGGTCAACCGTAACGTTTACCGACTTCCAAATAAGGCCCTGCCCCCTTTCGCTGTAATGTTCTCTGCACAACCCTCCTCTGCTGTCTTGTGAACTGGTAAAGTGTTGCTGTGTGTTGTGCGATAAACCATCCAAAATGAGATGTCAAGTGGGCCGGCATGCGCGTAGGCGGGAAAGTAATAGTTAGAGAATGGCAGAGCAGGAACGACAAGAATGATTCTTTCTAGCTCTATTTAATGTGTTTTGAGAGAAATTCCTTCCTCTGGAAAACCTATTTTTACAGGCTTCCGAAACTATACGTCAAAGGAGTATTACCTCGCAGCTGGGTTCAATGATCAACTACAACCCTCCTCCCCACCCCAAAATCACGTACACGCCACGCCTCCCCTTGCCCTTCACGCTCTCTCGCCCTAACGCACCTTTTTATGGTGGAATCATTACAGAACGCTTCCTAGCAATCTTTAGCCAAGACGTATCCCCTTTTGCAGGATCAGTTTGACCTGTTGAGTTATTGTTTCAAATGTTTAAGATAAGTTTGCAGATAAGCCGAAAGGTTAGCGAACTCTTAAGTTCTAAGTTTTCCCAAGACGTACACCTTATGTACACTAAATGTGCTAACATAGAACCAATCTAAGCTCCTATCCTACTGCCTTCCTCGACCTGGAAAAGGCGTTCGACCGGCTACCGCGAGCAGTGCTATGGAGGTCGCTTAGGGAACGAAACGTGCCAGAACACCTCATCTCTCTGGTGAAGGATGCTCATGGAGGGACCACTGAAGACTATCCTCTATGCTGACGACGTCGCCTTGATAGCTGATAGTAGAGAGGAACTTCAAGCCAAGGTGCAGAAATGGCAGAAAGTCCTGACAGAAGGTGGGCTACGGCTGAATGTCAAGAAGACCAAGTTCCTGAGCTCCGAAGAGGGTGCAGAGCCGATCGTGGACGGCCATGGTGAGACCATCGAAAGAGTGGAGGACTTCCGATACCTTGGGAGCGATCTGGCAGCCGACGGTAGTGTGGATCAGGCGGTGAAGGCTCGGGTCAACGCTGCATGGATGAAATGGAGGGAGTCCACTGGAATCCTCTGCGATCGAAGGTGCTCCAGAGCGCTCAAAGGGAAGGTGTACCGGACAGTGGTAAGGCCTGCGATGCTCTACGGCAGCGAGTGCTGGGCCTTGAACAAGAATCAGGAAAGGCAGCTCCACTCTGCCGAAATGAGGATGCTGAGATGGGCCTGCGGCTGGACGCGGCTGGACAGGGTAGAAACGAGGACGTCAGAGCGGTCATGCAGACTGCCCCTGTCCAGCTGAAGGTACGGGAACAGCGTCTGCGATGGTATGGGCATGTGCTAAGGAGGCCACAGGACCATCCGATAAGAACAGCGATGGACTTCGAAGTACAAGGCAAGCGACCGCGAGG